GTAGCGAGGTCTGAGGATGTACGATAGCGCCGAATAGCTTGAGTTATTTCAATAGTCTGGCTCTGTACATGTTAAAAACTTTGGAAATTTAAGCATTTAAGTTGCTCTGAAAGTGACAGTAAAACCAGTTTTCATCATAAGTCGTGTCTTTCTGTCTCAGCCAGATTGTTTTGGTGAAATACTGAGTACTTTGTGGGCCAGAAAACCAACACTGCATATCAACTTTAATGCCCAATCTTATCTTATAGTAGCATGCTTTGGAAGATTTTTGTTTTTTTGTTTAGCAGAGAAAGGGAAGCTGATGATGGTTGACAGACAAATGGAAGAAACTCTGTCAAGACTATAAAATCTTGAGAGAGAGGTTCAACTTTTTTCTTCCCTTTCACAATTTACTTGCAGTTGCATTTCTGTTTCCTGTAAAGAGATTATCTTTCATTGTCTTTTGTATGTATTTTTTTTTTCCTACCTGGCTGCAAAGCAAATTTCCCTACAGGGAGAATAACAAAGCAACACCGATGCTGAATAATTCAAAATTTGTGGTTGTAAACGTGACAAATCTGAAAACGTTCAAGGGGAATAAGTAATTTCGCAAGGCGCAGTATAATGCAAAGCGATTCCTCCTACTCGGATATGACCGTGATTGATTCACTTGTTATTCAGGAAGGTACCGAGGTGGAAAAAACAGAAAGAACACAGCCATTATCCCGCCATCCATCGTCGTGTGGCAACAGGGTGACCCGCAAGCGCTCCGTTTAGGGATAAAAGCTGCCGATCACTCGGCCAACCCTCTTTGCTTGGCACGTCACGTGTGTCCGTGTGACAGGCCAATCAAGAAAATGGAGTGCGTTAATAGAGATGGAGATGGCTGCTCTCCCCGATGCGCTGGTGGAGCGCCCCCTCATCATCTCACCTCCTAATAAACTGTTTTAATAGACGCAAGTCCTGTCAGCAGGGGCTGGATGGATGGGTGGGCTTAATGGCCTCTAGATCAATGTCGAACAATGTATGACTAAACAGTTCCTTACGGTCTTTCCTAACGGATACCTGTGTGAAGAGCCTGCGCTATTTTCTATTCACACTAACAATCTGAAGCCGTTTTTTTCTTCCTTTTTTGCAATAAATCTTCTTAATAACCCACTCACTTACGCAGTCAGTTTGTTTGTAGTGAATGCAAAGCCTCTTAATGTCCCGTCCCCACAGCGAAACAATGTGCTAGCAGCGTTCTGCTATGCTACGCAAATCCTGAGAAACTGTTTGGCCACAGCATGCCTTTGGGAAGCTTTTTGACCAGGCAGTTCTCTTTAAAATCCCTTCTGAGGAATACCTCCATAAAGGGCCTGACGTTGTTCTCCTGGCTTTTCTCTTTGTAAATGCCCTCTCTGACCCAGTCACTCAGCCAAGCAGGTTGTTGTTGGTCAATGCAAAATGCCCTGAACACAGTGAAACACAGCTGTAGTTGCATCATGTTGTGGGGGATGAAAGTAGCGCGATATTCCAGAATAGCTAAACCTCAAATCAACTGGTTCTGGAGATAAACTGTATAAAGTTTGACCCCATGTTCGGGTATAAAACCATCCCACTCAGACACGTCAGAAGCGACAGCTGTGACTATCAGTGGACAGCATTACAGTTTTCCACATGTGTGGTTCATTCGGAGTGCGGACATGGAGTGGAGATGTTTCCTCTGCTCTGACTGCAGGCGGTTTGCTACAGGAAGTGGGAGGGGCTTGCTGAGGAGGGCTTGTCTCAGAGTGATCGGCGCTTCACGTATCGTCACTAAAGTCCTCGGTAAAACAGAAAAAAATTCACTGGATTTGTTGCGTATTGCTTTTTAAAAAAGGTTTTACAAATGGTCTGAAAGCTTCTTAAATATATTGAAAAGGTTGCTAAGTTGGCAACAGTGCTTTCCTTTGACCTGACCACAGCCCTGCATTCGGCCCCTCTGTCTCTCTTGGCTCCGCCCACTTTGGTGTAGTTTTTCAATGTCTGTGAGTGCGGGTTTATGCTTTAGGATCTCTGCTAAAGGATTTCTCGACCTAAAATTATTCTCCTATTTGCCACCCCAAACATTTGTAGACTATTTTTAGATACGTTTTCAGTCCACACAGTGAAACATGGCAGTGGTGGAATCATTCTGAGGGGACAAACATTGACAAAGCAGTTCAATATCTCAACTGAAGGATGCCAGAACTCTGATTTTTTGTTCTGTTATTTACACTCAGGCACATACTTTTCAGCCTCTCCACACTGACTTTTTCTTTCCTCTCCCGTCTCCGCCACCCCCAAACGCCCACCCCCGTGTTTTTGCTTCATGACGAGACATTCACTCACCTGCGTGGCCGTCTACTCCTTCAGATTTACTTTTCAATCTCTCTACGTCCCTGCTTTATTTTATTTTAGTTCTCTTTCAAAGCCGGTGTGACAGTTTTAATTAACCCCCCTCATTCATGGAGCGAAGGACACATGTACTTCAATAGTTTGCCGGCAATTGTCCGCCTGCGTCACTTATCAATGAGGCCACTGAATAGCTGGAGGCAGCGCGTATTGATAACGCCGTGAAAAAGGACATGAATGCCGCCGTCGCTGGCAGGTGTCGGGCTCGTCGTTGGCGGTGGGTGGTTGTCTACCCAAGGACATGGAAGCAGAGTGAATGCCAATGCAAATCAATTGAAATTCAGTTTCAAGAGCCCTTCACAAAAAGCATCTGGCACCGAACGTACTCAGGGGTGAACGTCCTCTTGTGCACTCAGAGACACTGAATACAGTGAATGAATAATAAATTGCTAACGTCAAGGATCGCGGCGCTCGTCTCCCAGGAAAACGTCCCTACATTTAACCCGTGCTACGAATTGGGGCGAGGCCTCAGAGCGTGTTAATGCGGGCCGGGTTTAGTCAGCCTGACCTGTATTTACATGGGATTGCATTTGATTGCATCACATTATCAAGATTATTTTATTTGCCCTGGCAGCGTCATGAGTTTTTTTTTTTCTGCCTTTCTGATGGTTTGGCTCGCGGTTTAGGAACCGAGAATAGCTGTTGCTAAGGAAACATGGATTCCAAATATGAAGTCCTGATTGGGAAGAAATAAATAAAGGAAATCTAATAAAAGATATTCTTCAATCTGCTCTAATCAAGTTTTAATAACTACGCTGCAGAGAAGGGTTTACGTAAGTGTTATATAAACAACGCCGAGGTAGAGCTGCTGTGGTTACATGTGAGATCATTTCTGTTTAGTAGAGCAAAGACAAAGCAACATACCAATGAATTCCTTGTTCCGGACGCTTGGATTTGCATTGAATAGGAGTCTAAAAGAGAGAAGAGATTAATTCAAGGCCGCACAATTTTTGAGACGCGCGCAGGTGTGGGTAACAGGAGGATCCTGACGAGAGGTTACTTGAAAGGAGCCTGTGCAGATCAGCAGGAATTCGTTTTTTTTTTTTAAGTTTGAAAGCAGAAAAGAAGATAAAAGTTGGAGCAAAACAGGTGTGCGGGACGGGTTGGAGTCTTTTTGGTAAATAACAGAAGGGGAGTGCATGTGTCTTTTAAAACTGTTTTTGCTAAATGAGAACATGACTTCTGACATTCCCAGAAAAAGTCTCATTAATCAACATTTCAACCCCTGAGTTGAGAGATTCATGGTGTAAAAGCACCAGGAGTGATCTGTGTAACTAGATTAGAGCTCTTTAAACCTTGTTCTTAACACTCTCCCTTTATTTTCAATTGACAGCTTTTGACATTTATAAACCTTCTGGATTCAGCAATTCCAAAATGCACTACAATTACACTTTTTTTAAAAATTATTTTTAACTGCAACAGTATAATATAGAACTTCAGCCTAAAGCATTTTTGAATAAAATTACTCTTTTTCAACTTTTACAGAATTTATCTGGACAAAGTATATAATTAGCTCTGTTACAGATTCTTTTTCTGATTTTTGAAGATGAATAACTTCAACCAAAGAGAACTTGAGTAAATACAAATTATAGTTTTCATTATGTTCATTATTCAACAATAAGAAAAAGAGAATGGATAAAAATGGTGTCCATGGGCCATTGTGCTTTTCTTTGTCATCCAAAGAAAGACACAAAGGTCTTTTTCACATTTGTCAGAAAAAAAAAGAAACAAACATCGTGATGATCTGCACTGCCGTTGGGCAAATATTCAGAGGACTGATGAAACAAATATGGAGCTTCATAAGATGGCATGTTCCTATTTGAATTAAAGCAATTCTGTTTCAACACCTTTATTTCTCTTACTGATGAGTTTCTGCTAGAGATGAGAACATGACACTGGATCAATAAGAAGAAACAGAAATCTGGCCTTAAATGAAAGTAGGTTTATTATCTGCTAAAATCTTTCCAAAAGAGACTTTCAATCTGACAAAAGACAAATATTCTAATTTGTTGAAAATGTCTGTGAGTAAGGTGCCGCTCACCGTCACAGGATATTCAGGGGTTTGTCTGAATCAAAGTTTAGTTTTGCAGCTTCCTGGCGTCTGTTTACAGCAGAAAAGTCAAACATGCTAAAAGCTGGATGACGCCAGGAGAGGAGCTGCGGTTGGATGTCGAGGGCTTCTCTTTGAAGACGGAGTGGTGTAACTTGAAGTGCTCAGCGCCCATCTACATGTCCACCTCTGTCTTCCTCTCATGGAGATAAACGGTCTTCTGTGATTGGTTCTGCAGGAGGCTTTGGGACCCCCAGGTGGCCGGAAACGTCTCCTTCTAGCAATGCTCAAAATAGATCATATGTAACAGACGTCGTGACAGTAAGGCTGCTTTAAATATGTATCCTTGATGCATTGCTGACAACTGTGGCATTTACAGCAAAGCCACATGGGAAGTCACAGTTTGTTCAGTTTAATTATTGTACCATTGATTTTTCTTTTTTTTTTTTTTATATCAGACTTAGGTTATAGCACAGTTTACATCTCTACTAAACATATCATCTCTCTCTTTCCTTCCCCCCCCCTCTCTCTCTCTCCCTCTCTTTTAATTCTGTAGATATTGATGAATGTGCTGAAGGGAAACATTACTGCAGAGAGAACACCATGTGCGTTAACACGCCTGGTTCCTTCATGTGCATCTGCCACACGGGCTACATCAGGATCGATGACTACTCCTGCACAGGTGAGCGCCTCCTCTGGCCTTCCGGCAAACTGCGCTCAGGATGACTTGGCTCTGTTTGTGGGAACAGATGCACCAACCAATCGTCCAGATATATCGCATAGGGAGATTCCAGGTGCAACAGCAGCATCCGGTATAAAGTTTCATACAAAAAAGAAGTTCTTAAAGTTCTTAAAGTGTTAAAAACTACATTGATAGTAGTGAAATAATAATATACTGTACAGGACTATAAATGAATATACTATGCATTTATTACAAAATAAAAAATATCAACCTCCAAGGAATGTGCAGCTGAGTCAGATCACTTATTCACATAAACCCAAATGTATTTATTTTTATTCATTAAAATATTCAGATATAAGGACTCGACGGTTTTCAGCAACAATCAGAGGAAGGTTTGAGACATTTTTTATTGCATGAATATGACGCCCTACCATTTTCTTTATTTTTATTCATTTAAATGTACTAACTCTGCAGCTTTGTGCTTATGAGGAAAAACAAATCGGTCAAAATCGGCAGCAGTAGATCAGAACTCAAAGAAAAGCAAAGATCAGTATTTACCATTAAAGACCTGCTTGGTGCATTTCTGTATTCGAGTTAAAGCCATCAGATTATTCACTTAAAAATAACTTCCTTATTAGTATAGAAGTGAAGATCTTTTTTCACACAGCATGGATCTCTTTTGCATTGATGTCCCTTTTCAAAGTGTTTGTAAGAGAACAAGTAGAGACTGAAGCTGATATTTACCGTATGATGCAACACGTGCTAAAACAACGCTCCCTTCTTTTAACGCTGAACTTTTTTTTTCTTTAGCATTGTTCTCATATGTCCAACTTCAAGTTTGTTTGTTTTTTTTAGACTTGTTTATAGTTGATGATAATACTGATTCTGTTGCCTTGAGCAAAAGTCCTCAGCCAAGTCCAGGCCACTGTGAACGGACGGACCATCCTCACGTTAACCTGGGTTTGTGCATTTTTGTGTATGACCCAGAAAGAGAAAGTCGGTGAGAACCTTAACATAAATGATGGCAGGTTTTCTGTCCGTTGAACCATTTCTGTATTGATTTGGCTTTTTCATGTTGTAAGACACGTTTTTGGTATCATATGATCTAAATATTTTCATGCATGTCATGCACTCTAACAATGTTAGAGCCTTTGGAAGAGAAACAGCATCATTCACTGCCCGCCATACTTAAGAGAAGGCATGGAGAGCTTTTCTGCATGATGATTGAAGCTCTGCTCAGAGTTCCCTTTTCAACTGGGCTCTTTCTGGACTGATGTAACTAGAATAGGGTTATTATGCATTACCTCAGTATTCTGCCTGGCAAAGCTGTGTAAACTGATCTGAGTATTTGCAGAGATTTATTGCGAATCACTTGGAAGCTGCTGGCAACATGTAAAATCAGCTGTGTGCTAGGGAAGAAAGTCACACAATTCAGCAATGTCAGAATTAGAAAGCAGTTGGGGTTTTTTTGCGTTCTCCCAAATTCAAGCTAGAAAAACTACTTGATTTATCCCAAAAGAAAAATAAATGTTGTAGAAACTCGTGTCAACATAAGTATCTTCAAAGTGTCGTTGTGGACGGTGATGCTGGAGGCATTAAGGATCTCTGGTAGCAGTCAGTTTTGCTCCAAACTTAAAGAGGCCTCTGACTGAAGCCTGAACTACGACCCCAAATATCAGAACTCGGGGTCGTAGTTCAGGTATTAATTGCACTTTTGAGATGCAGATCGACTGCTCCCATTTGTGTTGCCACGGTTATGCATCGTAACCCAACTATCCCAAAGTGAAAAATGTAAGGGCAAAAAACTGCACAACATCCAAAACCAGAGGGGGATAATTGCCCCCAAAACAGCAATTCCTCAACCAACACAATTCTGAACTAAAGTGTACAAAAAGGACAAATCAGAACTAACATGCAAGAAAAGCAAAGTTCATGTAAAGTTAAATCTGTTAATAAAAAGGTCTGAGTCAGCATTCTTTGCATGATGTAATCTCTCCGTCCTTCAGCAAGAACGTCACAATGTCATCACCCTCCCCCGCCCAGCGCCCCCGGTCCAGGGAGGTGCAGCTCCACTTGCTCCTGTGCAGCTGTTTGCAGCTTGTGAAGCACGACGCTAAGTAGCTCCCTGTGTGAATCATCTCTGAGGAGGGTGGCGACATGCTGCGTTTCCTCCGTGCCTGTAATTAAGGAAGCAATTTACACCGATGCAGTCTAACTCGGCGGCAGCGTAGCGAGGGAACCTGCCGCCCCCTGTGCTCGGTGCTGGATGATTTAGGCCCGCAGAACTTCCCGCGGTGCATTTGGAGTTGGAATTACAGCTGCTAAACTAGACAAAAACGACAAACAGCCGTACAAAAAATAGGAAAATAAAAAACAAGCCCTTCTTTGAAGAGTTCCCCTGCTTGGGTTTCAGTGGAAATCAGAAAATAAAGAAGTTAGAAATGCAAACAGAACTTTTACTCAAGTCATACATTCTTTGGCTGCGTTTTGTTCTTGGGAGTTATTTAATTAGCGAGTCGTCTTCAGGCGGGCGCCGTGCCTTATGCCATTTCACTCACCTTGTTTTCTCAGCTTTTTTTTTTTTTTTCGGGGCTCTGGGCAAGGTCTATTGTTCTACTCATTCGTCTTTCTTTCACTGTGTGCTTCCTCTCGAAATCCACAATGAAGATTAATTCTCCCAGAACCCAGGGGATTAAACTGTGCCACTACATTTTATATATTTCCCCATTAACAACGCCTTCACGGCGCCGCAGTGAAACACACAGCGACGAGTCTCTTTATAAAAGTCATTTTTTGTGATTAAAGTGAGGTTTTTGTGAAAACTTGATGTAATTACTTTTCTCATCCCTGCCTCGGTGAAATTGTTGTTGTGATGTTCCAGCTGGTTTATTGAACTGAGCTCTCCCACCAACACAGCACTGCACCTCTCTTCTGAGACATCATTAGAGTGATGCATTATGGGGGGAAATTAAAATGAAAATAAAAAGAAAAAAACACAAGGGCTTGCGAAAGTATTCATACCCTTTGAACTATTAATCCATTTCGTCACTTTCCGCCGAGCAAACAAGAAATTATATGGCTTTCTGAAAGGAATTTAGTACATGCAGAGTAGCAGTTCCTGACATGTTGATATGCATCTAAAAACATCAGAGGTTTTACTGCATGAAATGGGCAATGCAGCGTTTTTAAGGCAGCAAACACACACTACTGCTTTTCCTGACACATGCCTTTATGCAGAGCGTTGCGTCACCACCATAATCCTGCTGGTAGTAATTGACACCAGAAATAGAAGCGTACCGTAGCAATGAAACACCTGCTTGTGTTGGAAGAGTCCAGTGGGAACAGTGATTCCTCTAATTTGCCCGCAGATAAAATATTACAACAGGAGGGAAACATTAAGCCGCCGCCCCCTCCAGAAGCTATCGACACTGTGCATCCGCATGATTTACAAAGGCCTTTTATCATCTGCAATGACTTTCACCAATTAACAAACAGCCGACTCGGCAGAAACGGCACTTCCAGTATTGACTGCCGTTTTTCCACGTGTGTTAAGAGTGTTGCATGTGGGCCGGTCGCCCAAAATAAGGAGGATTAAGTCGACCCCAGCTCTTTTCATGGGTGAATGTTTATGCGTAGAATAGTTGTAAAGGATCGATCTGCACATTTAAGGCATGGAGCCCTGGTTTATATTTCTGCTCAACCTGTGGGGGACGTTCGAAAGCCCAGATAGAAGTCTATATTTTGCATCCAGATAACTTGTAGGGAGATGTGGACCTGGTGCACTTATTTAAGTGATATAGCTTGATAGATATAGCTAGCTAGACACCTAGATACAGCTAGCTAGCTTTGTATCTAGCTAGCTATATCCATTGATAGATTTATAGCTTGCTAGCTTTGTATCTAGATAGCTAGATACATAGATAGATTTATAGCTAGCTAGCTTTGTATCTAGCTAGATACATAGATACATAGCTTGCTAGCTTTGTATCTAGATAGCTAGATACATAGATTTATAGCTAGCTAGCTTTGTATCTGGATCGCTATATCCATTGATAGATTTATAGCTAGCTAGCTTTGTATCTAGCTTGACACATAGATACATAGCTTGCTAGCTTTGTATCTAGATAGCTATATATATATATATATATATATATATATTTAGCTAGCTAGATATACAGTTAGCTAGCTATATATCTGTCAGTGCATTTTTCTAGATATCTACTATGTATCTACCTAGATACATACGGTATCTAGGATAGATAGATAGATAGATAGATAGATGGATAGAAATGAGACATTGCGGTGCAGTATTCCTCCTCTCTTTCTGCCCTCTGCTTTTCGTCTTCCCCACAAATGCCCGAGGTGCTCATCGCAATGTGAGATTAGCAGCAAATCCATGAAAGGTAGCAGACTGGTGGTGCTCTCTGTCAGAATGTTTTAAAAGAAGGCTGTCCTCAGGATTGTGTGTGTGTGTGAATGTGCACTTGGTCTGCTGTAGCTACAGTGCATTCTTCTGGTGTGTGCCCATGTTCTAATCCTTCGGTAGCCAGACCTTAGCCCCTGAGGCTAAGTAAGTGATGGATGGATGGATGGTTGGAAGGAAGAGAGAGGATGGAGGAAAGGTCGCAGGCCAAAGGTGAAGCAGGAGGGGGATTGTCAACAGCAGAGCTGAGAAAAGATGATTTTCAATGACACCTTAAAGAGAAACTGTAGACAGAGTTTCTACTTATTGCTTGTTTTAACATTTTAGTTTTATTTCCATCACACCAGTTTTCAACAAATGTCGCTTAGACATTTTATAAGACTATTATGACTAATCCATATCCAGTTAAGTGGAATCTATATCCAAATTCAGTTAAGAACCATAACATAATTCATTATGAAAGATTCACAGTAGGGGTCGGCATTTATTGTATTGCTTACCTTGTATCATGAGAAATTTCTTATAAGAATTTCGATTTATAAAGTCCAATTAATGATGTTTTAACCCCCTCCCCCAAATTGATTTTTAGTTTTACTATTTTCTCCACTGTTAGTTCATTGAGCCCATCCAATAAATTCGAAAATATAATTAAATGAAGCTACTGCGTGCAGTTTAGCAATAAAAATTATAGTTCTGTGTGACCAAAGCAGCATTTTTCAAGAGCATTGTTTGTGTTTGTGGGGCTACGATTGCTCTGCCCTGCAGTTCCCTAAAAAGTGGTAATAAATAGTTAGTTTTAGGGAAAAAGCTGTACAATTTATCCATTGCTAAATTCCTATGATCGAAGGTGAAGTCAAACCCACCTGCTGCCCGTGTTTAGATAGCTCTGCCTCGGTGGCAACAAGGCTAGGTGGCATGCTAAAGCATTTTGCTATTTCAGCCAAGTGTTATTTAATATAAAAGGCACTTGGCTCCAGTCTCCTTAATGTGATGCTTTTTCAGTGCAAGATAATGATGTCATGATGCTTTCCTCTGGATCCCTCATTCCTTGGGAAGACGACAATGATTAGAGCACATCTGCTCTTGCTTTAGCAGTTCAGTGAGCTAATCAGACTAATAGAGTGATTTAGGTGGGCGCCTTTCATACGACAACAGCAGAATCAATCTACCTGATCATTTTCTGCCAGGGCAAAGACATTGTGCTAATTGGGTTTGACTAACTTTTTAGAGAAAATAAGGGTTACCGGTGTGAGATATAAACGCATTTGATTGCTGCGCATGGTAATCTAAAAATTTCTCAAGCTTTCTTTAACTCTTTAAGATATGATAATGTTTAATTTCCCCCTTTTTGTGTATGATATGAGGCTATAATGGAGACTTCTCTCCATTTTCTAGCCTTTGTCAACACACCTTTATCGCAAACAAAACAAACCTAGCCAGCACTGAAACAAACCAAAAGAGTATGTTGAAGTTTAGGTTTTGCAGCGATTTTCTGTTTACTGCGTCTGCAAATCTACCACATCTTCACAGATTTTTGTAAGAGGATTAATGTACGGTTTGCTATAATGAGGGATTCTTTGGAGCTTATTATTTCTCGGCTCTTGTTCCTCTCTTTTGGCTGGGCAAAGATTGAGAGTTATTTATCAAGTAAAACAATGCTTTTGTTTTGCATGAAATCAATTTTTTTCCACTCAAAATAAAGTTGCTAAGCCTGCCATTTTGTAGCACAGTCATTAAATATACATTAAATGATTCTAAATATGATTCTGCTGCTGAGCGTCTTAAAACTAAATCATCAGTTTGCCGTTTTCTCTTTTTATCCTCTCCAGTAGACAAGCTATCATGGGCTTTTTTTCTTGCCACTGACTTTATAAAATCACCACTCTCCAGCCCGTAGCATGAAAACTGAGGTATTGTCGTCTATCTGAGGTCAGACAGTGCAGAGGCTGGTATTGTTTTGGCAAAAGGTGGAGGGAAAACAAGCTTCAGGAGAAACAAGCAGCCATAGTAAGAGCTCCCCGATGACAGGCTCTACATAATTGATTGTTTATCTGTCTGCAGCCTGAGCTGCAGCAGCCAGCGAGGTAACACACACACACACACACACACACACACACACACACACACACACGCACACACACACACACACACACACACACATCCTAGGGATTTAGGAGGCGATTAAAATGGGAGTCGTTTACACCGAGTGCAGGGGTGTAATAGGCCTAAATTCCTAAGTAACAAATTCCAGGGTTGTAGTGATGAGCCGCACACGGTGACACAAGCGGAGTTCCTTTGTGGCTCCGATGCCTACTCTCTGTCTGGTCAGACAGACAAATAGTGTCCTCTAATTTAGTTTCCGTCTCTCTCCTGAGCTTTTATTTTTGTTTCTAAATATCTGCGAGGAGCCTTTATGCCGCCCAGCAGCGAGAGGCGAGCTCCGGGCCCCTTTTAAGTGTTTTTCAATCCGTCTCACACACACACACACACACACACACATCATGGCCTCGACGGAGGAGCTCATCACAATGTCACTTTCAATTTGGCTGGAAACACGGTGCGTTCAGGGGATGTAATGGATTGGATGATGGAAGGCAAATGGATGATGTGACTAAGGTGAAAGCAACAAGCTTTTAGGATTTGGGTTTTCTCACTTTTCGGATTCCATATTTCTGTTCCCGCAGCTGTGTCTTTTTTCTTTTTGCAACATTTCTAAAGCAACGTGTGCTAGCAAGAAAGTAAAAAAAAAAAGAAAAAAAAAGGTAAAAATAAAATAAGGTGCCGCTTTGTACAAAACAGTGACTGAAGAACGACGTGGAAATCTGCTTGATGTCTGCACAAAACGCACATGAAAGCAAAGGATGACGATTATTTCTACCAATAAAATCTAGAATCACAGTCACGTCCAGCTAGCTGCTGAACTCCCAAAGTTTGTGATTTCCACAAGTCTTAACATTTTCCAAAAGATTCGATTGACCGCTTAACCACTTTAGGCATCTTCTAAAAATGGTTTCTGCACTGTAAACACACGATAAAATGAGCTGAAATGTTGCAGGCCCTGCTTAAATATGAATATTTCATTGCCAGTTTTTGTTTACTCCTCTTTAGAAAAGTTATTAATTTTTAAAGTTGGTGTCTGCTAGGTGAGTAATATAAATGTATCTATGTGAATCTATAAAAAAAAAAACACAAAGGCAAACATTGATTCTGAAAACAATAACTTGTACTGAGGAAATTAATAAAAAAGAGGACGCAACAACAGATGCATGTAATGCTCTACGGTCTGCGTTAAAACTATCAGAAAACTGCTGCTTTCTTCCAAATTCCAGCAAGTTATTTGTTGCCCACTGGAGTGTAAAAACGTGTTAAATTTGCTAAATGAAAATATTGAATTAGACTAAAATGCCTGAGGAAAATTAGCAGTTTTATAACGTTCTAAGTCGTCTTCTTCAGACATTTACTGTACCGGACAAATACAGAGCTTTTGGTAAATGGACCACATGATGCTTATTATACTCCAGAGCTTCATCAGCAAGCTGTGCAAATTTATATTTCAGCACAATTTTAATTAAAATGTACATCTGTGGTGTCCAGAATTGCATTCCCATTATCTGCACAACATATTTAACATCTTTCCATTGTTTATGCTCACTTCTCCTTGCGTCGGTGTTGGAGTCCATCTCCAGCTGTCAACGGTCAAGAGCTGTTTTGTTGTGTTTGCGTTGCACACACGTTACTTTTCAGACTGTGAAAAGTAAAGTGTGGGTTCTATGACCCCACCTGCGCAGAGCCTTTTACTCAAACGTAGTGGAAACCCAAACTGTGCATCAAGTTGAGCAGAGTAGGTACTGACGGAGAAGGGCCACAACAGCCAAAAGAATCAGGTTTCTAAAAGTTAGCTTTTACAGGCAGGACAGTTTGTTGGTCTCTCAGAGGTAGAGAGCCCTACACTGAGTAGGGTTTTTCACTAGAAAACAGCAATACGTGGGGGAAGGGCCGTTTCATGACCTTCGGGTGCATCTTATTTAAAGGACTTTAGATTGTAGGAATGGTACGATGGAAAATTCCTGCTGAAACTGTACATCTTGATAGCAGAAACCATTTTGTTCCTCCAACCTGAAGCTGTTGCTGGCATAAAAAAAAATCATGTCTAATGATGCAGCTCATGTTTTAAAGTGAACATTTCTTTGCTTTTACAAAACCTTCGGAAAACATCTCCTGTGGGCGCTTAACGCACCAATTATAAAAATGTGCATTGCCTAAACTTTCCTTATTATTTTAACCTTTGTTTAACAAGGAAGAAAAACTCAGTGAGATTACAAATCACCTCTCTGAGTTTCCTGGGTAAATAAGGGCTGCTGGATTTTACTGGATGGAAAATAAGTTTATAGGGAGTGCGCGACTTACTAATTGATGAGTAGCAAATGTTGATGTTTAGGAAGCGCAGACCGTCAGCAAGGCTCTTCACATCCCTCATAATGTGCCACATGAACACAACTAATAGCAGCAAAACATCTGAGGCCATTTCTGTGTCATATCAAGATCGGAGCCAGAGGAATTACTCACTCCGGACTCATATCTTAGACTCACAGCTGCCTAACTGTCAGGGCATTTATTCTTAATGGACTGTAAAAATAAATTACCAACTTGCCGCAGTCATTCCTCACATTTGCTGCTCTTTAATCAAGAGGTGCTTTCCGGCTGGTAAGTTGTTCGCGGCTCTCAGGACGGTCCCTCAACATTCGTCTCTTTTTTTTTTTTCTTTTTATCAGCTAACCAAGACGTAGACGTGCTCAAAAACATCTGTTGTTTCCAGAGAACTCGATGAGACTGACGGCCGCCCGTTTTGCTTGCTTTTAGAGCATGACGAATGTCTCAGCGGACTCCACAACTGCGACGAGAACGCCCTGTGCTTCAACATGGTGGGAGGCCACAGCTGCTCCTGCAAGCCGGGATACACGGGGAACGGCACCGTCTGCAAAGGTACCTCACCGCTCTGCCCGTTCACGTTCCCGACTCTTCAGCTTTGTCAAAGAAAAAGTGTTTATTTTTCTCTGGTCATGATAAATGTGTAAATGTTAAGACATTCTGAAAGGCTTATTACCTATTAACAGATTTTATTTTATTTTATTTTATTTTTTACATGATTTGTTAAAAATACAGAGAAAAACATTTGCAAACGTTTCCTGTAGGCGTCCGATCGCAAATGTGTTCACCAGTGACACTCACTGGCCTCTCCAACATGCTTTAATGGTAAAAAGAAGGTTCACCCACTTCAGGTTCTGGTATTTTAGTGATTATTTTCCTCTAGGCTGTTTTCTTTATCCAGGGCATGTTTAAGTTTAAAATAATTGTTTGATTTTACCAACATGTTTCTTCTTATTGGAAGTAACATTTAGGAGTAGCTCAACCAGACTCTTGACTTGAATTTGATAGAGAATCTGTGGAGCTAGCTGAACATTAGGGTTATGGCAAGTAAGCCTTCCAACCTCATCCGTTGATTATTGAAAAAACTGTAAATACATTTTTACCTCCTATTTTAAAAACACACAAAAATTAAGATTGATAAGTATTATTTTCAAAATAAAAGCATCTCCAAGTCCCAGCTACCTACATTCTTTGAATTTTGACATGAGATTCACTGGGTTAATGACGTACCTTGCTTGGTTTTGGTCTCATTGGACCAGCAGGTTGCCTTGTACACTTCTCGTGACGTAAACCTAAATGAACATTTAGGAACATTTTCATCCTCTGTAAGCCCTCTGCGAAACTTTTAATTTAGCTCCTCGATGCACCTGAGAAAATGTCAGGAAACTCCAGCTGGAGGAGCTAAAGGTTATTTCATGTTCATCAAATTTGAACTCAGGACAAATAAAGTCTGAAACTGAAACAGAAATGGTCTCGATAAACCATTAGTTTGAGAGCGTGCAGCTGGGTTAGCGAAACTTTTTTTTTTTGTTACCGTATCATTTTCTTTTTAGAATTTTATAAAAAATAATTTCACTGGGTTGTACAGAAAATCTACAACCCGAGTGTCAATGTGTGGGAAGAGTTGTGAGATGAGTCATTGTAACGTCACAAAAAATTATTATTGGGAAAAAGTATTTTTCCATTTGCTCCATGTAATTACATCTATTCTCCTTTCCAGCTTTTTCTAAGAAAAAAAAAAGCATCAAAGGATTTGTGTATATATTACAACGACCTCCGTTTCTTTCTGTCAACATCAGTGACCTCTCTGTGTTTTGGGGACGTATTAACCAACAGTCTCGCCACGGATAATGAACACTTTGAAATTAACCTCTGCGAGACGCATTAATCACGTGAAGTAATGTTATGAAAGGCCATAATGAATCACATCGCCGAATTAGCTCTTATTCTGTATGCAAATACTTGTGCTGGTGCTGGTCTAATTACACAGTTAATGCTCATTAATCTTTGAGAGTAATGGCTCTTCTCCTCCGGTGCGTCTCCAGCAATGTGTGACGGACTGTGCCAGAACGGAGGATCCTGCATTTCGCCTAACAACTGCGTTTGCCAGCAAGGATTTACGGGGGAGAGGTGTGAAACAGGTAGGATTTCATTTCGGCTTAGCTCCTGTGTTTCATTTCTTCTCCCTTAAAGAGAGGACAAAGATTTATGAATACCCAGGAAAAAAAAAAAAAAAAACCCACAGTGGAAACTGGGTTTCAGGTGATTAAGGCTGAGCCTGTATTTGTCTTGGCGTATCTGGGATCTTGTTTAGAATGACGTATCACTTTTTGCGCATGGAGCCGTCTGCTGTCAGAGCTCAGACGTAAACAGATGATCTGTAAATGCTGAGTAGCTGCTGGAGTTGTGACTCAAACGCAGATATTGTCCGCTTGAGTCGTCATTTGTGGCTGTGAGCGCTGACGACTTTGTGCATCTCTGTGCTCTCTGGCGAGTAATGGGTCTGCGCCTCGTCCAAAGGCCTCGTAGGGGATTTGTACGGCTTTGGAGCAGAATGGGAATTGTATCATGTCGCAGCCTCCATTAAGCAGCGTGGCATTCTCCCTGTAGCCTAAATACCATGTTTTCATTGCAACAAATCTTACTCCATGAACGTTCCTTTAAAAAAAACAACAAAAAAACAATCGAACCAGCTGAACTTTTTCACGTTTGATCACATTACAACCACAACTTTATTGTGTTTTACATGGCACACCAACAGAAAGTAATAAGTATTGTGAAGTGGAAGGAAAATGCTTAACGGTTTTCAAGATTTTTTTTTACAAATGACCTGATACGTGTGACATACACTTGCATTTAGCCCTCTATTTTTAACACCCCTAAATAAAAACAATCTATAGTCTTTAGAAGTAACGCAATTACCAAATTTTCCAACTTTATGTAATTTATTTTTAGGATACATTCCTAAAAATAAGGGAGTTTGATTAGTCTGCTTTAATCGAACTGTAGTTTGAAACTCCAGGTTGTTTGGAGAGATGTGAACGAGTAATCGAACTCTGATGTGGACCAAAAAGGAAACTATGGCTGGTCAGTTCAATCAAAGGGAACTCTGGTGCATATCTAATTTTCATGTGGACTAGAGACCCATTTAAAGTTTGAAAAACAAAATATATGCATATACTTGAAAACTTTGAAGCCTTTTGTCCACTTTACAGTTAGGTGCTCCTTTGTGCTAACTCGTTAATTGAATCAAATTCAAGTACACGGATGTTTGTAGCTTTAACTTAAACCTGGTTCATGAATACATTTCCAAGGCTTCATACGTTGCATCTCTCCTCCGGTAACCGTGGTGGTGTAAAATAAATACACAAACACTTTTTGTAAAATCCGTGTCAATCTTTAATGGAGTATCTTTCGGGGAGGCAAGTGGCCAAGCTAATGAAAAGTCACGGCTCTTCAGTCAGGGTCTATCTGCGTCCAAATACAGCAGACTGAGCTCTCCTCATTGGTCCAGCTATTGATTGAGTGCCCTTTTTTATGAGGCATCCTTTTTACTGCCCATCTTAAAGTAAATTAATTTCCTCGTAGAGCTGATCCGAGATGATGAGCCAGGAAAGAAAAAGGATGTGAAGTCTATCATCCTCCCCACGTTGGGTTGAGGAAAGTTCTACTAGCCTTATCCCTTATGAATAACGTACTACTTCTGATAATTGGATATGTTTCACCCTCTGTATGGGTTTACATCTCAGCCTGTTTCTCTTTCGGTCTGTTTCGGTCTGCACTGCTGCACTACGTTTCACTGAAAACAGAATTACAGCTGTCCAGCAACAAACCAGCTCAGTTACTGTTTTGGCTGTAGCTGTGTTTCTACATAAAGCATTAACTAGTAAGTTCAGTAGAAAAACCATCGGACTCAACGGTCAGTACATGAATGTGTGACAGCGGGGAGCTCAATTATCGAGACCTTTCTGTGAGTACAGAGTTGTCAACGGTTGGCGTTTGATTAAGGATGCTAGCTAAAGTAAATACCTTTTAGAAAATCACAGCAGCAAGGCAGTTCAAAGGGCTTTACATCATAAAAACACAAAAATACAAAGTCATGAAAGACAACATACAGATAAGGAAAAAACCTGTGATTACTGTACTGCTACCAGAAGATGCCTATATGAAGTGAAAAGACCCCAAAATGTTCGACTGTTAAAACAAAACAAAAAACATAGAGCAATAGCTGAAGTGGTTAGAATTTGCCAGAAAACACAACGACTGGCCCAAACAATAATGACTCAGCATTTTGTGAACTGGCGAAAGCAAAATTGCTCAATTGTATCTAATGTTCCGACAAGACTTCCCCAAATACACCAGTTAGCCAGCAGCAACATGCTGAATGATGTGGAGCGGCCAGACCAACACCTGGACATTAAAAAAGTACAAGTTGTTAAAGTTTTTAAATTGAATGTGTCGTTTCTGGTGAGGAACAAAGCAAAGCAGAGGATTTGTGGAAAGTAGCTCAGTGGCTGAAATCAAATGAGTTTTCTATTTTCAATTTTTGGATTATTTTTGCTATCGTGTTAGTGTTTTAAAGGCAACGTTTCTCCAAACTTTTACGTCTAAGAAGGAGTTTGTCGCCCATCTGCTTTTCTACGAATAGCACTTGTGTATCATTTGACGACTGATGAAGTAGGTTTGATTCAAACTCTCTACGAAGAAAAATCGATCCAAGTCTTCAAATAGCAGGAGCAAGTTCCCATGTAAAAAATGGTGACATGTTAAATCATCTTGTTCCCACACTTAACTCCTTAATGTGCTCGTTTGTTAGGAGAAGGCTAACGCCTCCTCTATTTAAATTCTGCATCTTTTGGTTAAGAGTCCCAAGCAAGTATCTGGTAGTGAAGGTATTATTCACTTTAAATTGCAGCTGCACGATCGTTGCACACAACAGAACTCTCCCATGCATTTTCATGCCTGAAGCGACATGAAGTTTGCCGCCGCGGATGCTGGCGAGAGCATCTCTCCTGCTTCTCCGACAGTCACTCTCATACGTCTCTAGCACTGTGACAACCACTGTCCTGATGTTCCTTCGTTGTGCTTCTAAGCCCCAAGACCATCATCGGGTCCCCAGTGCTACAAGGCTAAGGCCTCTGGCACTGTTGGGGGACTCCATCAGTCATTCATTCTGGAAGAAAGGCTTCTCCGTACTGCTTCCTCAGCATGACAGGAACTCCCAGCGCAGGCCTGTTTCTGCTGCTAGGACGCATGGCGGCTCCAGTTCTAGTAGCAGGAGGCGAGAGCAGCAGTTTGGGAAGAAAAGATGGAGATGTAACGGAGAGACTGACAGATGCAAAATTCGAGGAAGGGTTAGGACAGAGAGGTAGCGATTCGGAAACGGGTAAAAGGAGGTGAAGCGGAATGGATGATACGGAGACGCTGGGTGCGGAGGGGAAAAGCTGACAGATGCGGATCTGGAATGGGATATGCGGAGAGAGGGAGGGAGGGACGGACGGGGTTATTGAGTTTTTCCCTGAATTTGGACGTGGAATGCGGTTGCCCGAAGAGGAGGGAGAGGAGAAGCAGAGCTCGCCGGATGAACATGGAAAAGCTTTCACTAGGTTTTCAGGCTCCCCGCCCGCAGGACCCTGTGAGCTTTTAGAGGCCTCCCCAGGGACTCCGCCGCCCCTGCTGCCACAGCATTAGAGTGACGGCCTGTCACAAGCTGCCGAACGATGACGACGAAGCATCCCCGCGCTCACACGTACCTGCGGTCCTCACGCACATCATCAACCTGCCGCCTGATTTCCGATCGTCACACGTCCGTGTGTAATTGGGCGCACGCTCTTAGCGTAATTGAGCATGTCTATTTCTCTGCCGCTGAGAGGGACGGCGCTGTTCAGCTTGGGTCTGCTCGTGTCTTCTGGTGACAATGTGTGTGTGCGTGTGCGTGTGTGTG